CTTTCTGATTGCCATGGCTAGGACTTCCAAATCTATATTGAATAATAGCAGTGAGAGAGTCAATTCCTAGGCAGGTTGATAAGAAGTCTGAGGTCCCCGAGGAGGAGAAAGGGGTCTTGGGCTCTCAAAGAAGAGATAGGGGTCTGGAATTCTCAAGGAGGAGGAAAGGACATCTTTTTTTTCTTCTACATTCCTTAGTCTGATGATTACACAACAAACAATTCAGTTTAAACTCTGTACTAAGGACTGATGTTGAAGCTGAAACTTCAATACTTTGACCACCTGATGCAGAGAACTGACTGATTTGAAAAGGCCCTGATGCTGGGAAAGATTGAGGGCAGGAGGAGAAGGGGACGACAGAGGATGAGATGGTTGGATGGCATCACCGACTCAATGGACATGAGTTTGGGCAAATTCCAGGAGTTGGTGATGGACAGGGAGGCCTGGCGTGCTGTGGTTCATGGGGTCACAGAGTCGGACAGGACTGAGCGACTGAACTGAACTGAAGGATTATGTAACAATAATGTATCCTGCTTGAGGACAGTTTCTCCTTCCTGAAAACCTTCTGGCTAATCCTGTTATCTTAAAATGTAAATTATGGAAGTGGGTCTAGTAAGATTTTTACAACCTTGAGACATTCTTTTGATTTGTTGTAATAACTAATTATATGCAGATGACACCACCCTTATGGCAGAAAGTGAAGATGAACTAAAAAGCCTCCTGATGAAAGTGAAAGAGGAGAGTGAAAAAGTTGGTTTAAAGCTCAACATTCAGAAAACTAAGATCATGGCATCTGGTCCCATCACTTCATGGGAAATAGATGGGGAGACAGTGGAAACAGTGTCAGACTTTATTTTGGGGGACTCCAAAATCCCTGCAGATGGTGATTGCAGCCATGAAATTAAAAGACGATTACTCCTTGGAAGGAAAGTTATGACCAACCTAGACAGCATATTAAAAAGCAGAGACATTACTTTGCCAACAAAGGTCCGTCTAGTCAAGGCTGTGGTTTTTCCAGTAGTCATGTGTGGATGTGAGAGTTGGACTGTGAAGAAAGCTGAGCGCCAAAAAATTGATGCTTTTGAACTGTGGTGTTGGAGAAGACTCTTGAGAGTCCCTTGGACTGCAAGGAGATCCAACCAGTCCATCCTAAAGGAGATCAGTCCTGGGTGTTCATTGGAAGGACTGATGGTGAAGCTGAAACTCCAATACTTTGGCCACCTGATGAGAAGAGCTGACTCATTGGAAAAGACCCTGATGCTGGGAAAGATTGAGGGCAGGAGGAGTACGGGATGACAGAGGATGAGATGGCTGGATGGCATCACTGATGTGATGGACATGGGTTTGAGTAAACTCCCGGAGTTGGTGATGGACAGGGAGGCCTGGCGTGGTGCAATTTATGGGGTCGCAAAGAGTCGGACATGACTGAGCAACTGAACTGAACTGACTGAATAACTAATTTAAAAAGTATGTAACTCGCCTGCTAACACTAGCAAGGGGAGCATTCTGCATCCCCCTTCTGATGTCTATGTCAGAAGCTTTCTCTGTCCCTTTTCTTACTTTAATAAAACTGCCACACAAAAGCTCTTTTGAGTGATCCAGCCTGGTCCTTGGTCCCAAAGCTAAATCTTCTTCAGAGATCACAAATCTGACTTCATTCACTGTAAGCTATCAGTGGCACGAGTGGGCGCCCATGTCATGTTCCTAATCTTAGAGGAAATGCTTTCAGTTTTTCCCTATTGAGAATGTTGTTTGGTGTGGGTTTGTTGTATGTGGCCTTTATTATGTTCAGATAGGTTCTTTCTATGCCAGTTTTCTGGAGAATCTTTATCATAAATGGGTGTTGAATTTTGTCAAAAGCTTTCTCTGCATCTATTGAGATGATCATATGGTTTTATTTCTCAATTTTTTAATATGGTCTATCACATTTATTGACTTATATATATTTAAGAATCCTTGCAGCCCTGGGATAAACCCCACTTGATCATGGTGTAGGATCCTTTTAATGTGTTGTTGGATTCTGTTTGCTGTAATTTTTTGAGGATTTTTGCATCTATATTCATCAGTGATACTGGCCTGTGATTTTCTTTTTTTGTGGTATCTTTGTCTCATTTTTGCATCAGGGTGATAGTGGCCTCATAGAATAAGTTTAGGAGTATTCCTCCTTCTGCAACTTTTTGGAAAACTTTGAGTACAATAGGTGTTAACCATTCTCTAAATGTTTGATAGAATTTGCCTGTGAAGCCGTGTGGCACTGGGTTTTTGTTGGAAGATTTTTGATCATGGTTTTGACTTCGGTGCTTATGATTTGTCTGTTCATATTTTCTGTTTCTTCCTGGTTCAGTTTTGGGGGTTATGCTTTTGTAAGAATGTGTCCATTTGTTCCAGGTTGTCCATTTTTTTTGGCATATAGTTGCTCATAGTAGTAGTCTCTTATGGTCCTTTGTATTTATGCATTGTCTGTTGTAGCTTCTTTTTCATTTCTAATTGTATTGATTTGAGTCTTCTCCCTGTTTCTTTGATGAGTCTGACTAATTGTCAATTTGGTTTATTGTCTCAAAGAACCAGCTTTTAGTTTATTGAACTTTGCTCTTCTTTCATTATTTTTCATTTATTTCTGCTCTGATCTCTATGATTTCTTTCCTTCTACTAATGTCATCAGATTTTTTGTTCTTTTTCTAGTTTCTTTATATTCTCAGGTTAGGTTGTTTATTTGATATTTCTTGTTTCTTGAGGTTGACTTGTATTTCTGTAAACTTTCATCTTAACACTTCTTTTATTGCATCCCATAAGTTTTTTTTTTTTTTCCCATAAGTTTTAAGTTGTCTTTTTTGGGGGTAGTACCATACTGTTTTGATGACTATAGCTTTGTAGTATGATCTCTAGTCAGGTAGCCTGATCCCCTCTCCCCATCCCCCCAGTTCTGTTTTCTTTTTCAAAATTTTTTGTCTATTCAGGGTCTTTTGAAGATATTTGATTTTATATTGTCAAATTTAGCATTTTTTTCTTTATGCTTTGTTGATTTTTAGTCATTGTTGGGCCTTATCCACTATAATGATATAAAAGAATTGTTCTGTGTAGTCTTTTAGAATGTGGTTTATTTTTTTACATTTAAATCTTGAATATATGTTAATTTTCCCTGTTCTGTGGTGTGATATATAGACCTCTGTTTTCCAGATGGCCATCTGTTTATCCAAATGACATTTGTATCAAGACTTTTCTCACTCATTAAATGATGTTATCTGTATTCAAATAGGAAAGTGATTCTGTTTATCATTCTTCCTGCTATCCACTTTCTCTAGTTTAAGCTTAGACATCTGTCTGGGCTTTCACTAGTGCACTGCTCCTTTTGCCCACTTCTACATTTGTATTAGACTGTGGGCAATAGTGTTGTAATTTTTTATCTAGTATTACCTTACCCTCTATCTTGCAGAATTTTTTCAAAATTCAGGGCTTGTGCTGGGATGTTTTTCTGCATTCCTCTTTTGTCATATTTTTATTACTTTAAAAGTTTTGTATTGTACCTGAATATGTTTTTGGAGACAGGATATATATGTGTTTAGTCTATTCTCTTAGACTAGAGAAACAATTTTTGGTTGTAATTCTCTCTACTTTTAGTTTTCAGTACTCTTAATATTTTTGTTTTCTCTTTTTACCACTGAGAATTTATTTCTCAGCCTTCCTGGCTTATCTTTATACCTTACTTTTAAATTTTGCTATTCTCTTGAATTTATTCCTTGGTTGTTTTCTTTCCTAAAATTTCTATATCCTTTCTGAACCAGCCCTTTTTCTCTAATGACTTCAATTACCATCTTAAGGACTAATGTCTCCTAAATCCTTTTTTTTCATTTTAGACCTCCCTTCTCCATTCCAGGATCATGCAGCCAATGATGAAATAATTCAATTTGTAAATTCCACAGGTATTTTGAGTACAGTTGAACAACATCTACTCTCTGTAACCCAACCTCTGATTCTTATTTATTTTTCCAGTCTCTGTGTATGGCATCAGCATCTATCAGTTGGTTATGGAGTATTTCTTTGTATAGCTATACAAAAAAACATAGTGACCAGATTTTTTTCCTCTAAGGATTAATTCCCATTCTTTATCTCTGTTGCTTTGCCTTAGGATAGATCATCCCTAAAATTGGGTAGTTTGTTTTGTTGCTGAAGATATTGTCCACTATTCATATAGAGTGGTAGTTCCTAATGAGGAGAGATTTTTCTTCCTAGGAGACATTTGCAAGTATTTGAAGATATTTTTAATTGATGCTATTGATATCTGATTAGTAGAAGTAGGGATACTGGTAAACATCCTGGAATACACAGGACAGTCTTCCACAGAAATAGGTTTATCTGGTCCAGAGTGTCAGTAGTGCCAAATTGAAGAAACCCTGTTCTAGAGCAAAGGCAGAGTTGCTCATCTTTTATAGCATTTTGTTTTAAACTCTAAACAGTTAAACATATGTTAGGAGAAAACCATGGTTTGAAAGTATACACTCACTCCAGTGTTCACTGCAGTGCTGTTTACAGTAGCCACAGCCTGGAAGCAGCCTAAATCAAAGAATCTATATAGGTGTGGGGCATATGTGCAATGGAATGTTACTCAGCCATTAAAAAATGAAATAATGCCATTTGCAGCATCATGGATGGAAAGGTGGGGAGGGAGGGATAAATTGGGAGTTTGGAATTGACATATACACACTGCTATATTTAAAATGATAATCAACAAAGACCTACTGTATAGCACAAGGAACTCTGCTCAGTATTCTGTCATAACCTAAATGAGAAAGGAATTTGAAAAAGAAATATATATATACACATATATATATAAATCTCTTTGCTGTACACTTGAAACTTATAGAATATTGTAAATCACCTATAGACCAATATAAAATAATAATTAAAACATAAACAGAAAACATAGTAAGAGTTAGTTTTCAAAAATATTTTCCACGTCCTGATTCTGAACCCTCAGATTGAGTAGAAATATATTGTTACAGGCATCAGTGTCATTCAAGGATGTGACTGTGGAATTCACCAGGGAAGAGTGGCATCAGATGGACTCTGCTCAGAGGACGCTGTACAGAGATGTGATGCTGGAGAACTACAGCCACCTCGTCTCAGTGGGTGAGCAGACCTTCCCATGCAACTTCCTCAAGAATGCAGATTCAGTTTATTCTTTTTTAAAATATTGATCACTTTTATTGAGGAATATTAAATGAAAAATAAAATTCAGCACTTCATTATACAAATCAATAAGTTTAAAAAGTTACACACACAAAAAAAGTTATGCAGTAGATTACCATCATCAGAGTCATGGTTTGGAATATTTTCATCATCCCCCCAAAATTCCTTGTACCCCTTTGCAGTGAGTCCCTTCCTCTCATACCTCTTCTTAGATGCCAAGCAATCACTGATCTGTTTTCTATTTCAATGCTTTTTCCTTGTTTTGAATCTTATATAAATGAATTTATATATAGTATCTTGTGTCTGACTTCCACATTTAGCATGATGCTTTTGAGACTCCTGTGTGTGGATCCCTAATTTATTCTTTTTATCCTGAGTAGAATTCTTTTGTGTGCATATACCACAGTTTGTTATTCTTTCAGCTCATGGATACATGGGTGTTTTTCTAGTTTGGAGCTGTTATGGATAAAGCTTGTATTAACATTCACATATAAGTCTTTGTGTCAATATGTTTTCATTTCTTATGTAAATACCTAGGAGTGGGCTTACGTAGTCTTCTGGTAAGTTTATATGTAACTTATTCAGAAAGTTCCAGATGTTTCCCCATTGGGTCTAATGTTTTTCATGCCTGTAAGCAATGCCTAAGAGTTCTCATTGCTGTTTGGTTACCAGCATTTGGTTTGGTAAGTCTTACTATTTTTAACCATTGTAGTTGATGTCTAGTTGCATCTTATTGGATTTTAATTTGCATTTCTCTGGTAATTAACAATGTTGAACTTCTTTTCACGTGCTTTTTAACCATTCATAATCTCCTTTAATGAAGTGTTTCATCAAATTTCTTGCCCATTTTTTTCATTTTGGTTTTTCATTTGGGTCTTATTGTTGAGTAGGAGGAGTTCAGATATTACCAGATAAATGTTTTGAAAATGTTTCTTCTCCAGGTCTGGCTTGTATTTTTAGAAGAAAATGTTTACAGATGGTTTTAGTTTGTATATATACTTAAAAAGTTTTTGTATGACATGATTAAGATTCAGGGATTTAAAACAATTATATTCTTCATGTTTCCCCTAGTAGTTATATCTTACATAAATATAGTATAGTCTTAACACAAGGAAATAGGCATTGGTGCAATGAATGTGAATAGCTCTGTATCATTTTTTTACTTTATAATTTTTTATTGAAGTGTGGTTGATTTATAATATCATGTTAGTTTCAGGTATACAGCAGAGTGATTCAGTTATATATTCTTTTCCAGATTCTTTTCCCTGATAGGTTATTAAAAAATACTGAGTATAGTTCTCCGTGCTACAGAGTACATCCTTGTTATCTGTTTTATCCTGGGTTGGCCAAAAGGTTCATTTGGTTTTTTCCCATAAGATGGCTCTAGGAGTGCTTTAGTTGTCTTTAATGTCATTCTAAACCAGTTTGTTAAATTTTATTGTGACAGCTGTCATACCAGCATCTATTTTAAAAAAACTTACCAAAATTGGTGAATTTTTGTGTAGCCATTTTAATATTGAAGACAGAAGAAAAAAGCAACAGTTTTGACATATTGTGCCTTATTATTTCAACAAAGGTAAAAATGCAACTAAAACACAAAAATAAATTTGTGCAGTGTATGGAGAAGGTATTGTGACTGATCAAACATGACAAAAGTGGTTTGTGAAGTTTTGTGCTGGAGATTTCTTGCTGGACAATTCTCCATGGTCAGGTAGACCAGTTGAAGTTGATAATGATCAAATAGAGACTTAATTGAGAAGAATCAATGTTATACCGTGCAGGAGATAGCTGACATACTCAAAATATCCAAATCAAGATTTGAAAGTCATTTGCACCAGCTTGGTTATGTTAATCACTTTGATGTTTAGGTTCCACCTAGGCTAAGTGAAAAAACCTTTTTGACCATATTTCACATGTGTTTCTCTACTGAAACCTAATAAAAATGTTCCATTTTTAAAACAAATTGTGATGGGTGTTGAAAAGTGGATACTGTATAATAATGTGGAATGGAAGAGACTGTGGGGGCAAGTGAAATGAACCACCACCAATCACACACCAAAGGTGTCTTCTTCCAAGGAAGATGGTGTTGTGTATATGGTGGGATTGCAAGGGAATCCTCTGTTATGAGCTCCTTCTGGTGAACCAAACAATTAAATTCCAATAAGTATTGCTCCTAGTTAGACCGACTGAGAGCAGCACTTGATGAAGAGTGTCCAGAATTAGTCAACAGAAAATGCATAGTCTCCATCAGATAATGCAAGACCACATGTTTCTTTGATGAGTAGGCAAAAACTGTTACGCTTTGGCTGGAAGTTCTGATTCACCCACCATATTCACCAGCCATTGTACCTTCAGATTTCCTTTTATTTTGGTCTTTACAAAATTCTCTTAATGGAAGAAATTTCAACTCCCTGGAAGACTGTAAAAGGAACCTGGAACAGTTCTTTGCTCAAAAAGATAAAAAGTTTTGGGGAAATGGAATTATGAAGTTGCCTGAAAAATGGCAGAAGGTAATGGAACAAAACAGTGAATTCATGGCACAAAAAAGTTCTTGGTGAAAATGGAAAATTTGTCTTCTTTTTTAAATCAAAGGAACTTCTTAGCCACCCCAATACATAGCAGTGTATATAGGTTAATCCCAAACTCCTAATGTATCCCTTTCTTCTCCTTTCCCCTCTGATAACCATAAGTTTGTTTTCTGTGTCTGAGTCTATTTCTATTTTGAGTTAAGTTCATTTGTATCTTTTTTTTTTATTCTGCACAAAGCATATTTCATGATATTTTTCTTTTTCTATCTGGCTTACTTCACTTAGCATGATAATTTATAGGTCACCTATTTGTCTGCAAAAGACATGATTTTATTCTTTTTATGACTGAATAATATTTCATTCTGTGTATGAGATTTTATCTATATCTATCTATCTTACCACAACTTCTTTATCCATTCATCTATGTATGGACATTAGGTTGCTTCCGTGACCTAGCTATCTTAAATAGAGGTGTGGTAACATTGGAGTATATGTATCTTCAAAGCATGGTTTTCACCAAATATACGCTTAGGATTTGGAGATGGAAGTGGCAACCCACTCCAGTATTCTTGCCTAGAGAATCCTGTGGACAGAGGAGCCTGGCAAGGCTACAGTCCATGGGGTTACAACTTAGTGACTGAGCACATGCCTAGGATGTGCTTCCATGGATCATATGGTAGCCCTATCATTTTTAGTTTTTTAAGGAACCTCCCTACTGTACTCCATAGTGGCTACACCAATTTACATTCCCACCAGTAGTGTGGGAGGATTTTTTTCTCCAACAGCTTCTCTAGCATTTGGTACTGATAGATGTTTTGATGATGGCCATCCTGACTAGTGTGAGGTAATAACCTCATTGTACTTTTGATTTGTATTTCTCTGATAATTAGTGATATTCAGCATCTTTTCATATGCTTGTTAGCCATCTGTACACCTTCTTTGGAGAAATGTCCATTTAGATCTGACTATTTTTTATTGAGTTGCTTGGTTTCTTTTGTTACTGAGTTTCATGAACTGTTATGTGTTTTGGAAATTAACTCCTTGTTGGTAGCATCATTTGCAGATATTTTCTTCCAGTTTGTAAGTTGTCTTTCATTTTTATTATGGTTTCCTTTGCTGTGCAAAAGCAAAAGTGTCGTTAGGCCCCATTTGTTTATTTTTGTTTTTATTTCCATTACTATAGGAGACAGATCCAAAAAAATATTGCTGCAATTTATGTCAAAGAGTGTTCTGCCTGTATTTTCCTCTAGGATTTTTATAGTACCCAGTCTTACACTTAGGTCTTTAATCCGTTTTGAGTTTATTTTTATTGAGTTTATTGAGTTAGAGAATGTCTGTAATTTCATTGTTTTCATGTAGCTGTTCAGTTTTCCCAGTACCATTTGTTGGGGAAGAGGCTGTTTTCTCCATTGTATAGTCTTGCCTCCTTTGTCATAGATTAATTGACCATAAGTGTGTGGGTTTGTATCTGGGTTTCTGTCCTCTTCCATTGATCTCCGTGTGTTTTTGTGCCAGCACCATGCTGCTTTAATGACTGCAGCTTTGTAGTCGGGTCTGAAGTCAGGGGCCCTGATTCCCCCAGCTCTGATTTTCTTTCTCAAGGTTGCTTTGTCAAGTTTCAGGATCTTTTGTGTTCCCATTCAAATAAAAAAGACTGGGTTCTAGTTATGTGAAAAAAGCCATTAGTAATTTGATACAAATTGCATTGAATCTGTAGATTGCCTTTGGCAATATGATCATTTTGAAAATACTGATTCTTTCAATCCAAGAACATGGTATATCTTTCCATTTGTTTATGTCATCTTCTCTTTCTTTCATCAGCATCTTGTATCAACAGTTATCAGAATACAGGTCTTTTGCCTCCTGAGGTAGTTTTATTGCTAGGTACTTTATTCTTTTTGATGCAGTGCTAAACGGATTGTGTCCTTAATTTCCTCTTCTGATCTTTCCTTGCTAGTGTATAGAGATGCATAGATTTCTGTGTATTAATCTTGTATCCTGCAGCTTTACTGAGTTTATATGTAAGCTCTAGTAGTTTTCTTCTGTGTATTCTTGCCACCTCTTAATCTCTTCTGCTTCTGTTAGGTCCTTGCTGTTTCTGTCCTTTATTATGCCCATCTTTGCATGAAATGTTCCTTTGGTATCTAATTTTCTTAAAGAGATCTCTCGTCTTTCCCATTCCATTCTTTTGTATCTCTCCTTGCTATTCTTTGGAATCTACATTCACTTGGGTATATCTTTCCCTTTCTCTTTTGCCTTTTACATCTTTTCTTTTCTCAGCTTTTTGTAAGGCCTCCTTAGACAACCATTTTGCCTTCTTGCATTTCTTTTCTTTGGGATGGTTTTGGTCATTGCCTTCTATGCCTTATTGAGAACCTCCATTCATAGTTCCTCAGGCACTTTGTCTAGCAG